AGACCCTTTCTAATTTGTAAAAACTCCAGATGCTTTACAGAATTGCTATAAGTTGTTGGCATAAAACACAAATTTAATACAGCATTTAAGTCAAAGTGTATCAAGAAACATGTTTTTACTAATTACAGTATATATTAAATAAGTACAGCACATATTCAATAAGACCTTGAAATAGTAAGAGTAATAAATAGTCCTGTCACATTAAATAAATCCCAGATAACAAATGCTGTTGATATTTATAACCAAATACATCCTTGCCTGACCTCAGTGAGATTTTACCAACAATATCTTTGGTTTCTAACTAAGCTGATGCATGCTTCCAATCTCAATACCATCAATGCTGATAATGAAGCGCATTGTTTGTAATCTTATGAAACAGCTTTGACAAAGAGGATAGGAAGAAGGAAAAAAAATCAGCAAAAACCAAAAGAAAATAGCTAGCAGGTTCTTTAAATGCCTATTCAATTTAAATTTTGTATCATTACTGTTCTAAGATTTATTTTACCTAATAGTTTATGGTGTTTTGTTTTGCTTGGTTTTGGGTTGGGTTTTTTTAGAAGACTGAAGTTTACTTTAGAAGATGGAAAAACGTATTTATGTAGCTACATTAAATTTTCTAAGCAAGGGACAGCTTTCTTGGTAGTTGCTCTTTTACCCATGACAGTCTTCAGGGTGGAATCCTTTCTTATGGCCACATGGTGGTAGCACTACAGGGTCTTTCATTTGGACATCTCAAGAAATCAAAACTGTTAGGATCAGGACTGCGCACTTTAAGAGAACAAGCTTTACAGACAAGAATCTCTTGCAGGATTTTTGTTTCTTTTCAAGTAACTTTTAGCACTTTCAAAGGGCAAAGGCCATTCTATAAGAAAAAGAAAATTGTATTATAGTATCATGAAAATAGTTGGGTTCTGGTGAGAAAAAAGCCAAATTACCAAGGAAGTATCAAAAGCACATGTCCTCATGGAGATACCTCCTTACATATATGGCAATAAAGAGGCTTTTTTCCTGCAAAGATGCTAAACTAGTATTTTGGAGGAGTTGACAAATACCTGAAAAGACAATACAGTAAAACCAAAGATCAGCATCAGAATACAGGTACTAGAAGAGCCATGCTCTCAAGACTGAGTTCATAAAAATGGTACAATGAATGAATTTCCATGTCTGATAAGAAGATTAAATCTGGTTCTTCTGTCCTGAACTGATGGCCTTCAAGAAATCATCTGTTACCTGTAAATTAAAATGCCCATTCTTTTCCTTGGCACAAACAATAAACATTTTGTAAACAAACAGTAGACAGTTCTACTGATTACATGCATGTACAATATGATGATAAAGTCACTTCTGTCAGCAAGTGAATGAAAAGAAGTAACAGTAAGAAAGTCTTACTGCAGTCACCATCGTAAGCTGGTACAGACCTAAATAAACACTGCAAATTCTACCAAGTTATGTTCAAATTTTAGTAGAAGATAATCTAGCACTATTTGACTTTTATTCTGGTGATCAAAAGCAGCTATTGCCTTGCAAAGAGAAGGCATCGTTCAAAGACTCTAAGCCTTTACACTTACTAAGAGGCCAGTATATTAAACTATTATATTTGTTTTGATAAGGCAAACTTTACTCTGTAAATCAATGAACTGCTGTCTTTACTCTGTAAGCAGATGAAAACAATTGTACAAGCAAAAGCAGAAGTCTTCCCACTACTTTTTAATAATCAGGGAGATCCCACTCAGCAGCACCTGAATACTATTGATGACATACACAGCTTGCTAAGAGAGCAGTCTTCCATGTTTATTTTTGATTCCACAACTGTTTTGCAAATTTCATGTTACAAATCCCAGCTGAAGTGGTACAACTATGTTATAGGACACAGTACCTTATGACAAGCTACAAGCTAAATAACAGAATAAAAGATTGCTTGTGACAGCAATTTTTTTGTAAATCCAGGTAAGTTTTAGAAATTCTAATTCCAGAAACACAATCAGTTGGAAAAAGGTGGCAAGACCTATTTGAATTACTTTTTTTTGGTATGCAAATATTTTTATTTAGAGGATTAGGTCCATACACCATTTAAAAACATAAGAGGTCAGTGACAAATTCAGGCTCCTAGACTGAACTGAGGAGAAAGGGGATTTGAAGCAGTCACCTACATCTCAAATTAATGTTCCAAGTCCACTGGATATGAAGTATCAACGCTACTACCTCCACTGCAACAACATCCTCAACGTTCTATAAATGCTGCCTGTATCATTTTGTGAACTACCGCCTTTAGTTCCAAATTTTATTTCATTAAAAATGCCCAGGCATTTCCCTCTCTCCACTCCCACTCAAAAGCAGTAAGAGGGAAGTATCAACAAGCCTTATGTGAATCTGCTTGTTTTTATCATGATAACAGACAGACAAAAATATAGCTGGCTTAGATCCTCTCAGCCCCAGGCTTATGCTCCCAGAGTTCAATGGAGAACCCGCTCTGAAGCATCTGCTCCAACAATAGTTTCCTTGGGCCTCATCTCACGCTGTACTACCATACCACAACACGCACCGGAAGAAAAGACATACAACACCAGGAGAAAGATGAGGGCAAAAAACTTGTCTGCCTGTGAGTTTTTTTAGGAAGACCTATTTCATTATTTTCCCCAAATTTGTCTTGACACTGAAGTATTTCAGAGCACCATGACAAAATGAGATATTAACACCACACAAGGAAACGGTGGGTGTTGGGCTCAGCATTCACAAGCTGAGTGAATTGTAGTTAGGGATTTGAAGACAACGCACAAAGTTGCCTGCTGCCCAGATGGTGACTTTTTTTGCCAGAGGTGCCAAACAGCCCAGCTAGGGCAGGTCTTCTGCTGGACGTGTTACTCATAAGCAGGAAAGAACTGTTTGGGGACCTAGTACCTGATGGCAGCCTCAGCCTTCACGGCCTCCAGTGACACTGAAGGAAAGTGAGAAAGACAAGTGGCAGAAGAAAGATCTGGGTTTCAGGACAATACACTTCAGTTTATTCGGGGTAAATACCAGTAACTTCATTTGGTCATAAGTTGGCATGATGTAAATAGCAATAATGCAAACTTGCAACAGAATCTGTCTTCAAGACAACAGTCTAAGCTCTACAGATCTATTTGTGATCATACTTTCATTTTGGTTCAAGACAACAGTCTAAGCTCAAAGATCTATTTGTGATCATACTTTCATTTTGCCCAATATGTTAACTTCTATAGTTTAAACAACAAAATTCATACAACTATCCAAGTTCAGTCCAGAAGAAAGTCCCAGCAGCTAAGCATTTCCGCATGTCGTTCACGTACATTAATTGCTTACCGTAAGTCTATTACTTACTTTCCATCTACTTCTGGTCTTTTGCACACACAGTGAAACTTGCCACCAAAATCTATATAAAGATCATCTTCTACAACATGGAATATTCGACCAACAACAATTTTATCTTTGGCAGGTCCCATCTGAATTAAAGGAGAGCGTCTCAACATGGATGCAAAGGATTCTGATTTCTCTGAAGGAACCTACAGGTAAATAAATAAAACAACATTTCACAAAACATGCTATCTGAAAGGGGGAATTAAATTCAACTTGTAACATACAAAAAGGCTTTATTCACTAAATTACAAGTAAAGGTTGCATGTGTCCAGCGCATCTGCAGTAAGACTTCTAAGGGACATCAGGTATATTTCTCCAAACCCAAACATTTGCGTATTAAAGATAAAGCTTTCATTAATTTGCATCTCCTGAAAACATCTGCCAGTTCTACTACTGGTTAAGTAAGTTGATTTAAAAATGCACTCCCAATATTAGGAGATACTCCTGCGAAGAACATCTCTCATCCTTCTGTTATCTCCTTGGTGAAAACCAAAATAGAATTAGTAACTTGCAGTTATTCATGGAAGTATTTCATAATTAATAATATTTAGATCTTTAGAACAAAGCCATTTTGACAAAACAGCAAAAGTAGAAAGCACACACAGGACTGTTCTAACACATTTAAAAAAATTTGAACCATTACTTCTCTTATTTTTCACTCTACAATATCAAAGAAATATTTTAATTCAGTAACTAAAGAAACAAAATGCCAGTTTCTTCTCATAGAACTTTGGGAAAATGGGAAAACATAAATTTTCCTGCTCTTCTTCCTGGAGATATCTCTGTTTTCTGATCTGAGAAACGTGACTATCACAAGTTTCCCATCATATCCTAAGTGAAAATACCCAGCTATATCAGAGACTCATTCCTGCATACGCTTTCTCGGATATACTAAATTTGACCACTTTTTAAGATTACCCGCTTTGAAATACAATTAGTAAGAAAAGCCTTCTTGCCAGTAATGAATGAAAGGGGAGATGCATTTTGGAATCAATACATACCTGAAATCTGAAAGTGAATGTAAATAATTTTATAGACAAATAAATAGATTCACAAAAAGAGTGCCTGTCAGTTTTCCCCCCACATTCAGCAGCAATTAACTGATAAACCAATTACTTCATGCAAGATTTCACAGTATTTTCAAGCCAGCAGAAGAACTAAACAGAATAAAATAATCAAGCAATTAAAGGTTTAGAGCTTGTTGGCTTCCAGTGACACACTTTCCCATAGACTACTTCAAGTGGATGCTGAAAATCCACCTAGATTTTGTACAGAGAGAGAATAGTGCCATCATTTTCCACCTGTACATGGGGAAACTTTTATTCTCAGGGAAGTCAAAACAAGAGACAGTTTTGGACTCCAGTTTTGCTGGAAGGCACCAACAGTGTGGGTTGTTCTGACATGACATAACCTCAGGAATTGTAAGCTAGAGATCTGACACCTGGTAAATTTGCTGCTTCAGAAACAGGAACTCTTAAACGTAGCATCCCAAGGACAAGGGCTGAACAAAGTGCAACACGCGTGCACACACATGCACACACACCACAAAAACAAAGTGGCTGGTGATGGTAAACCACAAACAGAGCAGTAGGATTTTATACAGGAAAGCTAATATCAGAGAAGGTTTCAAACAGGATTGAAGTTCACAATGAAGTCTACATTCAAGTACACAAAAACTAACTGTACAGAATGCATTTGTAAGTCCTCCAAAAATAAATGCAAAATAGTCAAGGTACTTAAATGAGATTTATCATATGAATTGCAGGGGCAGCAGCAATCCAGATGCAGCTTTAATTCAATGTATAAGCCATAAGTTAAAAAGAAAGATTTCAAAATTAACATCCCCTCAAAATTACTTAATCTGGGCAAAAGATTATAAATCAATCTTCACATTGAAATGCCAAAGCCTGCTTTAAGGGAAACTGAGGTACAAAGTGCAAAATTCAGCAGTCCTCCACTGAGTTCCTCACTATGAACTCATTAGAGTTTGCAGAATCAACTAATTGCCTTGGAATTCAACTACTTGCCCCACTAAAGTAATAAACACTTTTCCATCATCCTGTATGCTCATAAACATTGTTTTCAAAGATGATACATCTCATCTGAGTTACACCTTGTCACTCGACACCAAGTTACAGCAAACACAACAAAACTCCACAGTCAACTACTCTGTCCATCAACTTGTTGATTGTTCAATTCCCTGCTTCCCTAATCAGCATTACCCCACTCCTCCATCCTTCACTCCTGACCCAGTTCTATTTGTCTGAGGAAGATGATGCCAATTAAAACAATCATCCATAAAGTGATAGCAGGAACGCTCATAGCAGAGGATTTCCAGTGAATATGCAGTTTCTTGGATGGAGCAGCTGAGCACTACAAAAAAACCCCAACTTTCTCAAGTGAGAACTAACATTATGAAGGGGGGACGGCTGCAGGGACTTAAGAAATACACATAATTCAAAATCAGAAGGGCGCATATGGTATTGAAGAGATCTGTGCTTGTGTCTTCTCTATCATCAACTGGTAGACATGGTGGCTTTTCAGAAACTGGTGTTTTGGAACACATCATCTTTCCAAATACTTCACCTGCTCCATCTGAGACCAAACACCTGACAAAAATATTCTTAGGGTCCTCCAAAAACTCTGTTAAGTCTTCTTAATTTAGGATACAGGTCTGAAGAGTGTTTAAACCAACCACTGCCATGCCTCATCCTGCCCTCTCCACTCCCGCCCAGACAGAACTCCTGTCCCCTAATGCCACCACTGAAACTTGTCCTAACCTGGAATACGCCTGTTCCATGAATGTATCAAACACAAGCCATTTACTTTCACGTAGGACCATTTTCTGTTGGTCTAGTTCCCAAACGAGATCACAAAGGCACAGGTGAGTATCAAGATGAATGAGACCCTGAGAGTGCCCACAGACAAGGGCAAAGATAAGAACGTGGCAGCAACATATAAACTCAGGATGATAAGGACTACTATCATTTAATCACAGAATATTTTCTGTTAACCTTCATAGCAAGGCAAACTAGTAAAAGAATTGGCCTAACAAAAAAACCCCAAAAAACAAAAAAACAAACCCAAACCAACCAACCAACCCAAAGGCAGGCAGATGTGATCATCTGTAGGCTAACGCATACGTACTCCACAGTTAAATTCAGGTTTCAGGTAAAGAGCAGCCTCGTTTACCTACTTCAACAGGGTGTGAGGGGTCCCATGTATGGTTTGGATTAATTTAAAGAATGCTAGTGAGACTGGACACTACACTAGATGATCCACTTCCAACAACTGAACTGCCTTTTGTTATATGTAGATCATCTGGAAAAAAGTCTGAGCTAGGTAGAAAGGATCACAAATCCTTTTGAGTCTGGTTTGAAGATTTTTTTCAAGTTATCTAGAAAGATGGTTAGATCCCTAACAGCCAGTAAACACGCTGAACAACACTGAGCTTTTTTTTTTGAGCGGTAATACAATTTACAGTGAATTCCTTCATCTCTTGGCAATTACACTCATTAAATGCCATTCACCTCACTCTTGTTGCCTTCGCACGATGGCACACCCAGGAGGCGCTCTACCCTAAAAAAACTTCTTGTTGGGAAATCTTCATCTCCACATTATGAAGATGGGTACACTAACATGCTTTGGATTTCCTGGTTTTATCACCCAAAAATGAGCCATTCTAGTTAATAACATCCCTCTTCTTTATCTCCCTGGCAGGAAAAGATACAGATACAAAATCCTCCCATGTGCAAACTTGCCTGTGAAATAATGTCTGTACATGACACACAAGTTGTCTTTACACACTGACAGATCTCCTTATTCCCTACTAGAACAGAGATTAAAGTTGGTAAGATTCAGATGCTAATGTAAGAAGAAATCCTTAGCCATTCTTCATCATGGACAATTTTCCAGGAAGCCACCAGGAATCTGTCTGAACTCTATCACAGGGCTACAAGTCTGCAGTGTTCTCTTTTCTGTTTATGGATAAAGCAGATATGTGAAACTATACACATAGTGGAAAAATAGATATTTATTTTTATATAGCTCTGCATAATGCAAACTAGGGCACAAGTTTTAGCTAGCATACTAGTAATTAAATACAGCTGCCACAAAATTCACCTACTGAAGCTTGTAAGTAACAGCACATCATCATCCCACTTACAGCACACAATTACAATCAGAGACAGTTCAGAGTTTATTCTTTTAAAGTTCACAGTCTGTTTTGCATTTTTCCCCAACATAATATAGCTCTTTTTCCTCCTCAATTAATGGCCTGAGGTTTTCTCCTATTAAAAGAAAAAAAACCAACCCAAACAACTGAAGTTCATACTGTTTCCCAACAGATTCAACTTACAACCCAAACTGGGCAACCACAAAAATAAGGAAGATCTCCTCGGTTTCCTTGAAACAGGAGACTTTTCCAGTTTATTCCATATGAACAGATAAAAGTGAAGAACTAACATAAGCTTCTTGCTAAAAAAGACTTTTGAAAATTAACTACAGTATAAAGCTGAAACAAAAGCAAGATTTGTATTATTTAATAAAACTACTAAAGGAAAACAGTCCAAAGAGAAAGCATAAAAGGAGGATCCGTGATTCAAAGCAGAAATAAAAGCAGTTATTTAGGGAAAATCTAAGATTAATGACTGCAAAGTCACAAAGGACAGCTCTGAAAGCAGTCAAGGAGAAAACTGGAAGCTTCCCTGCTAGTAAGCAAGAAGATATTTCTAAAAAGTTTCATATGAATCACTTTCTCTGCAAAGATTGCAAGGCCCAATTTCTGTAAAGACAGCACATGCACACCAGCTTACACTATCATGACCTGAATTCTTTAAGGGAATTATTTTAGTTACAAGGATTCTAACATATTCTAATATTAATTATTTAATATCTACAGTCCAGTAAAAGAAATGTTGGTATAACTAAAAATTCCAGCAGATGCCATATTCATTAATTTCTCCCCATACCTAAGTAATGATTTGAATTACACCCTCAATGGCAGCAAACCCCAAATAATATAGTTTTGGAATAAACATAAATAGTGTCTGTACCTATCTTTTTAAATGTAAGTTTTGAAGAAAGCACGAGAGGGCAGAAGAAAACAGAACCACTTTTTAATATAATACAGTACTAAAAAAACCAGTATTCAG